TGACTGATGAATGGAAAACCCTGGTGCACTTTGGCTCTTCAATTCGCAGGTCTTTTCCATGATTCCGAAACGCTCTCTCTCTTAAGGATATTTTTTGTTGAACGAGGACAGGTATTTCTGAGAAGAGGATCTTACTGATGTCCCGGGGAATTTGTTTAGTAATTATGATTCTAACGAGATAAGAAATTTAACGTTTCCGCGCTAAATTCTGAATGAAGCCTAATCTTATCAAGAGAGGGTCTGTACTTCTCTTAATATTGTCAGCGAGAGTTAAGGTACAATTCTATCATGAAGAAGCTCTAACAGGGAGCAACAGTTTTAAGAACGACCAGGAATCTTAATGTCTTCTGGGAATTTTCTCATTGCAAGTGTCTTAGAACTTGAATGATGCAGGGAAAGAAACATTCTTTTCGGCGCATAATCTAAATTGAGTCTCACAAAGTGTAAACAAGGTTTCCTATGGTAACATTGAATAACCAGCATAAACAACATAACCCCTGGCATTTGTTACCTGAAGACCAACCAGTTCAGGAAAATTTTATGAGTAAGTTTCGAGAACATAATATTTTTTTCTCGATTGCTCGATGCCGCACTGTTGTCTGAAATTTTAGGAGTATGACCATCTGTTCCCTGTGTGAATCCCGCATTTCTTCTTTAGAGCATGGATATAGTGTGGATAGTTGCATTCATCTCCCGCTTTCCTTCCGTCGTGATCTCGCTCCCAAAATATACCGTCCTTTAATTGAACGGCGTGCTTCTTGATCAGGTTTCTTGCTGGTAAGTAAGTTGCTAGTGAGCAGTATGTGATGAACACCATGTGGACCACAGGTTGTTTGCGTTCGAAATCGATCCATCATGTATTTTGATAACTACATCTGAACTCCTTGTCGCTTTTCCCCTGCCAATTTAATATGGTGGAGTAGGTTTAAGAAATGTAGGCGTTTCCTTTTCCTTGAATGTCTTCCGCTCTGTTTCCACAGTGGTTCACGGAACCCCACACAGCACTCTTTCTCGTATGTTTCTCGCCCACGATCAAGCCGCTCTTGACTCACACTGCTTAACAAGTATGGTGATGATGATGGAAGGATGACAGCCTTGTAAGGAAGGTGTTTTTTTTTCTTTTTTCCCTCCTCTTGGCGCCATGCCCGACGGTTTCTGCGCATGCCTCGAGGCATCTTCCCCATCCCTTCTCCCCTTTTTTCTCTCCTCGTCCATCGCTTTGTACATTATATTTGAAAAAAAAAATCTCTATTAATATTTATTTTTAATAATATACATACCCGCATGTGCTATTTCATCCTACACCCCGCGTTGACAGTGTTGCCGGATATCCTGCCATTGTCGCGCACCCTCTCCCTCTCGTAATTGGAGCCTATTGTTTCCTCAAGACTCATGCATGTCATTGCTATCAAAAGGAGGAGCCCTGACGAGAATCGCTCATGGGAATAATTTCCCTCCATCTTACGACCTTGAGATACTTTTACCAAGTGGCTCACGGGTGTGCATTCAAGAGGAAGGAAATGCCAACCTGATAGTATCAAGGATGGATAGGGGAAGCATAAAAAATGTTCTCCTTCGCATCCTGATTGGAGCCATCGATCTTTGGCTTTGATGGGGTTCTTCCTGTGGAATGGATCCGAGATTTACGAGGACAAGCTCAACAGAGAACAAAAGCATGTGTCAGCGATAAATTTAAATTTCGTAGCGCAAAAAGTATCCTCCAATAAACGAATTCGTGCTTGGCACGAGTTGGACGTCACTTGGGGATCAATGCTTGCCATCCAATCATCGCATATAATTTTTCTTTTTTCTAGGTACTTATTATTTAGAGCTACGACTCAAAGGTCCGTCATACTTCCGCTTGATAAAATGCATAATTTATTGAAAATGTTCCGGTAAAACACCCCGTAGTTCAACCGTCAAGGGTATTTTCCATTTCACGGTTGTTTCAGTTTTGAAACCTCTTTCTTAGGATTCTCTTTTTTCATTATTATTTTTTAAATATCGGTATCCATGCATAATTTCAGAAGATTTCACAAGTGTTTATCTTGCACATTATCCTGTGGTGAGATGCTTTTCATGAGCATATCGACGGGAGCATGAATGAGATATTCCTGGAATGTGAGATAAAGCATGGGACTTAGATGGGGGGATGAGGCGAGCATTGCTGTGAGGCCGCCCTCGGGCAAGCAAGCAGGGATTCCTTCTCCTCGTCAGTGTGTGAGGTGTGTGGTTGTGCATCGTGCAGTCACCGACTCAGTCACTCTAGCAGTGCCGTGGTGGAGATTCAACTATTCAAGCCACGTTCACGTTCAGTGTGCTTTTCAAGGTCTCTCTTCTCCCTCACACCTTCTCACTTCTTCCTTTGAGTACCCCCCCCCCCCCCCTTATCCGCCTCCCCATTCCCATTCAGCATTCCCCCATTCACCTGTGCCGGTGCTCTAGCGATCGTAGAATAGGGCGGCAGTGTTTCGTGAGCATCTCCCTCAGGATATAAGTTTTCTCAGGTATGGCTTGCCTTCGTATATTCCCAGAAAGTGACTCATTTCCCATCTTCGCTCATCCTGGTATATATACTTCTGGGTTTCTTATGTTATTTCTGGGAGTCGATCATCGAATCGAGGAAGCATCTGTTAAAAGTTCTAGATGATGGGTGGTGAAGCACGATTCCAAGAAGTGCAAGTAAATTCAGTGCATTTAAACTGAAAAGTGAAGAAGAGAGGTGTGATTTCTTTATGTATGGATGGATGCGGTATGATTCACCCATACTGGTACAGGTGCGCGTGCAATGGCGTGGGCGAAGAGAAAAGGGAGATGTGCCTGGCCTTGCGTGAACTGAAGAGTTTTGATAGTCTTATCATCCTTGCCTGTCATCACCATCTAGCAATAACAAAAAGTCAGTACATTCGAACACGGGAACTAAGCACCCTGATAGAACTTACAATTGGACTGCACGCGAGTCACGGCGCTGTAATTAATGAACACTTTTTTATTATTCATTAGTGATTCAATTAGAGTGGGGCAGATCGCCAATTATTCGTACTTGATAGAGAGGGAAAGAGAGATGTCATGGGGCACTCACGAGTCTCGCTTTAGAATGGGCTTATAAGGCGGATTCTTGGTTTCCTCAAACGCTTGCATTTTCGACTCACTGAGAATGAGACCGAGACCGAGAAATTGCGGTTGGAGACTTGAACGCATTGATACTAGGCAAGCAAGACTTTTCCTGCATGTAGATGAGGTAGTCCGTTTTGTTCGAATTGCACCCTTCTCTTCTGTAAAAAGGAAAATAGAGAGGGATCACATGTCTCGTCAATGGACTCTTTTCATGGAGTCGTAAAGAGGAATCCTTTACAATTCCCCTCCGGGCCAGGGGAAATTGCTTCGAGAAACAATATACCGTAGACATATATGCGTAGATTACGTAGATGAGCTTCTGTTGAAGCGCACATACTGACTGTTTTTCTAAGTAAAGTTCGATTCTTAGGAAGGGAGGGCGATTAATCGTTGGAGTGACGTCATAGCAGAGAAAAATATTTTGTTTGCTGAGAATTCCAAGGCTCGGCAAAAGGGTTGGGCCAAAGAGACCCAGGGTTCTTGTCCCCCCAGGGTCATCAAGCGTTCCGTGCCCTTTTCCCTTATAATTTATATCAGATACTAATACGTCAAGAGCCCTACTTACATTCCGAGAGCCTGCCTTTTCTCACATAAAAATGAGCGCATGGACCTATCTGTTATTCTTTGTCCTGTTCCATGGATTTCATACGGGACAGAGTGGCATAAATGCATTCCAAACGTGGGAAACGTATTCGTATGTGGACGAGCATTCTTTTCTTGTGTCCTCCTCCAGGAGTGGTGCAACATTCGGACAGTAGTGGTGGATGGGAGATAAGGGGAGGGATTCTATGCAAATATGAAGGATGTCGTAATAGAGGGATGACCCCATCCCCATCCTTGGGTTCTCTTCCTTCAGGGTCAATAGTCAACAGTTCCAAGCGTCTTCATCCTCCCTCTCTGTCTCTTTCTTCTCCCTCTCCCTCCTTCTCAGTCCAATAGGAAGCGCAATAGGTCTAATGCCAGATCATGGATCATCAACTTGCCTTTTGTTTCTTTTCCCGGACGTAAACATTGCCCAACAGGCGCAAGGTGCATCCAGATTTTTTTCAGGTAAACATCAGATGGCCGGAAATTACCTCCCGTGTGTTGCATTGTGTTCACCTTCAATGGTCATTGAAGGTGAACCACAATGATGACCAAGGTGAAGGTGACCATTGTACTTGCTCCCCAGCTGGGCTTTACATAGCTGAACGTTGAACAAGAAAAGAAGGGGAAATAACTCATGGACACAGCGAGGGATCGTGATTTTTGCAAAGATTTACAGCAACAAATATAATTATACAGACAGCCCCAAAGTTTACGTGAATTTCATTTTCGAAGTGCAGGCTTATTTATTCGGGACGAAGCTTTTTTTCTGAACTTCGCCAAACTCTCGTGACTTGCAGAACATTCTATTATTTTTTAAGTCAATAATTTTAATTTATACTTACTCGTACTTTAATTTATGTATTTATATCTTTCCACGTGTCGCAATTTGTCCCTGACCAATGGCCTTGTCAGGCATGCAGGTATGACTTCATTGTCCATGAAGTTTTTTAAGCATTCCCTGATGTGCGAAAGTTCTGTCACTCATTTATATCATCAAATCTTTTTGCACCAAGTGACCTTTTTTTTTGGGGGGGGGGGGGGGGTTGCTTGTTTTCCAACGTGAAAAAGAAAGGAAGGGAGATTTCGGACAGCTTTTTTTTGTTCACGTGCTAATCCATTTCCAGGATCCACCTTCATTCTGAAATCTCTTTCGTATGTTTCTTCTTAAAAAATGATGTGTTGTACATTTAAATTGTATATGCTATACGGTAAAGCAGTTCCATATAGCATACACAGAGCGCTCCAGGCTACTTGTGCTGTATATCCTGCGGTTTCCTTTCCGCTTGCTGACCCATATGAATGAGAGAGACATGGCGTACATTGCCCCGAGGACATGTCCCCTTCACACGAGACAGGTACTGACTGTCACGTTAACCTACCTCTACCATGCATGTGCCGTTTCCCTACTTCCCATGTGCATATACTGTACACGCGTATACTCTTGGTGAATACCGCCGAATTCTCCAAGCCAACCCCGCATATGGGTGTCAGTGGACGAGTGTCTAATAGATTTTCCTGGAGGTCCGGCTTGAATTCCATTAAGGGGGATTCCAGGTATAAGAACAAAATGGTGAAAGTTGCATTTTCGCCGAAAGGTCCCTTGTCCAGTTGGTCATTCATTCTCCTTCAAACTCAGCTATGCGAAACCCATTTATTAAGGAACGTCGGAGAGAAAAAGTTCCGTTGAGCTCCTTGCATTAATTTTATGCATGCTCTTCCCCTGCCCCCAGGTCTAATTTTTTTCTCGTTTTTCGGAACATGGTGATCTGCCGTACCCCGTGGGGTTGGATATGAAAAACAACCCTTTTCTTTTTCGTACATATTCCCTGGGGCCCCGCTACCTTGTTTTCTCTTCGTCAGTCTTCCGTCTTGATGGATTTCTCTTGCCAGCCATGAACCATCCCTTCCTCTCCTGTTTTCTTCCCAGTGTAATTACATGTTTTCTTCATTGCCCTGGATTCCATCTCATCTCCATCTCCCGGTGTAATGTGTTATTCAGGATTTCAGGAGAGGGTTTGCGAAACCGAGGTCAGGGATACGAATACTGGAGGTCAAAGGTCACAACGCGTTGCAGGAGTTGGGGGAAGTGTCCTGATCTTCCTGATCCAATAGAGCGGGGTGCCCAGGTCCGCTCTTGTCAAGGCCAAGGGTTCGCGAGAGGAATCCCACCAAGTCAATTAGAAGCGAATCCCGAAGATCTTTCAATAAGTGCGTTGTTAGGAGGACCGGCGAGGGGCCTATCAATAGGATGCGTATATAAGTGCCCTTAGGGCAGGAAAGGGAAAAATCCACCTTAGATACAGGGGACGGAAGGGAGAGACAGACGACCTTGAAATCTTCCTTATCATCCTTTAGGATGGGATGCCCCCCCCCCCCTTTTTATTTTAATAAGAAGTACATGGAATGAGGATTGGATGGATATCCCATCTCCGCAATCGCTATCACAACTCCTCCAATCCTTAAACTTTTCGATTTTATTTTTTCAAAATGTTCCCTTCAACATTTTTTCCATTGCTTTGTTTGCGCAGATCCATCGAGTGAGCCAGTATGAGAAGTACCTGGAAGACCTATTGAAGGAGACGAGGCCTGATCATCCTGATCATGATGACCTAGTCAAGGTCGCTGCCAAGGCGAAACAGGTCAGTCTACCCTCCTCCCTCGCTCCCTCTCCCAGACCATTGTCAGATTTCCTTCCATCGCCATGCACAGGGAGAGGGGGAGATCAATGGGCGGTGGTTAGTTATCCATACAGGCGGGGTCATCGACACCCCACCCACGAGAGAGTAGGTGTATCCTGTATCCGTAGATAGGATGGCGGATGGTATGTATTGAATAAGCCCAGGCCTCGTAGAGTTGAGTAAGAGGTCTATCTCATCGTTTATGTCGTGTCTCGAATCTCCAGCTTCCAGATTTAAGGAAGAAATGGGAAAATATTGAAACCCTGTTAGTGCATGATCTATAAATAACTCCCTTGTGCATTCCGGGTTCGTAGTTCATCCATCCAGATTTTTCTCCCAGGGATGGGATCGTAAACTACGCTTGCTCCGTTATGCTTTCTTTTATTTTTCTTTGGGAAAAGAACAAAAATCGGACATAAAAAAGAACAGACTCCTCTTGTATCTCTTTCCACGTCCTAAACTTTCATTTTGATCACTTTGACCTCTTTCATGTTCCACAGTGAGTGTTGTTGTAGTGGTAAAATATTGAAAATTTATAAACTGGCACTTTTGAAGTCACGTTTGAAGGAAGGGATCCTCAACTGGATAGAGTGGGTTCGTTCTTAGTCGATGATTGGGCTGAAGGAGTTTCTCCCTTGAAGTTCTTTCCTTTTTTTTTTCTTAAAGGATTCTGTCCTGCCAATTATATGATATCCGGCTTTCGTAGTGTGTCCTTGGTCCTTGGTTAAGGATAAGGGATATTTGCGGTGAGATGGTGAGTTTCCGAGGGAGTCTGGAAAGCGCCCCAGGGACCAGGGTCCTGAATCACCCTTTTCCCTGCCTCTAGATCCCTCGCATGTTCAGTTCCACTAGCCATTCTACCATTCTCCGCCATCTCCATCTTCCTTAATACAAGTTTCCTCGCCTCCCTTCACTTTATACGGATACTCCTTTTCCTGTCTGCCCTTTTGCCTCCGAATCTAAGTACTGGGGAGAGACAGGGAAGAAATCCTCTTGATGTTGTCTGATGTCCCTCCCCCGATACCAAATAGTGTCTGTGAATGCGTGACTCGGTTCCTCTGCCGATGGCTTCTCCTCGGATATTTTGTGAGTTCACACTTTATCTGAGTAATGTATCGTGTTTATTGCCGATGAGGTTTAAGTTTAATCTATCCTCGTGAGGATTTATTTTAATGAAAAACAGAATGAATTCATCAATGAACCGGAAGACGGGAAACAGAAAAGATAGTTCTTGGAAGTGAAAGTGGGTCGGTGCGTCACCCTTTTCCATCAGTCTCTTCTCCCTCAAGCGCTGCCATCTCTCTGGGTCACAATGTGCTGCCATAGATTCAGTGCTGTTATAAACCACGATAGTGCCATGTAGTATTAAATATTTGTACAGGATGGGCCTTTCCAATGAAAGTGTCGCCCCTCATAATTCACGTTCATACAGAACCTTATAATTTTTTAATGTACAAATTTATACAGTATAACTGTAAAAATCTGCGTACTACCTCCATTCGCCAAGGTTTGTAAGTCAGTTTAATTTGCAATGCTGTTGTGACAGCATCTGTCTCACGAAGAAAATATTGCAGCTGCGTAATTGGGCATTACAATGATTAATCTGTTTCAGTACTTACGTAAATCTGGAGGAAGGTGACTGAAGATCTTGTTCTTTTTGTGGTTCTGGTGACGGAGCCTACAGATCGAACGGAAAAATACTGGATTTAAATCCATTCAGCATTTTAAATATAGCATTTTGGAATCCTTGTTTAAACAAGGATCTGAAGTGTCTTTTGGGGGTCACGAGTAGTGATATAGCTCTGGAAGTACTAAAAAGCATTACTTAGAACACAGCTTGACAAAGAGAAAAAAATTGTCATTTTAGTGTGGCAAATGAACTATCGATGAACTTGTCCTACGTGCAACTGGTTTCTTGGAGGCGAGGGTGTCTGAACTATTATTACTGAAATATTAGAGGAAGTACTAAATGTACTTATAATTACAAATTCAAAAGGTTTCCTATGGGAAAGACTGCTTCCCCGATTTTAATATGCACAGTGCCGATGCTCTTCTCTCGCTTTGGCGGTTTGGGCGTCTCTCTAACTTACTGAATTCCTGCTCCAGCATTCCTGATTTACTTTTTAAGGAGAACTGAGGCCAGTTTCTCGAAGCTTCTAAATCTTTTCTTTTTCTTAAAACGTGCTAAAACACGGCTATTTCTAATCTTTTTCTTATTTCCTTCTTAAAAGCGGTTTCTCGAAAGTTCTAAACTTTTTCTATGCTAATGAAAGGACTCAGTCCCCCTTCAGAGGCAGAACGGACTTAAGAAAAAGAAAAGACAAAGTTTAGATTTAGATGTTTCGAGAAACACCACCTTCTAATCTAATTCTAAACTTTTTCTATTCTATTTATTTTCTTAAAGGGTCCGTTTAAGAAAAGAGTTAGAAAAGATTTAGAAGCTTCGAGAAACTGGCCCCTGAACTAATTTTAGCAAGTAAAGTAGGTTTAGACTTGTCCAAGCAGCCCTTAGAAATTTCCATACACATCGGAAACATTGTTTATGGCCGGGTGGCATGATCTGCTTATTTAAAAAAAAAGGCAACCATTATATGGCCTAATGAACAAAACAAGGAATCACAGTGGAAATTTGTATCTATCTGGAGATAAAAACACGCAATATTCAAGGTCCTTATAAGAATAACTTATCAGGAATGACACCGACTGCTTTTGAATTCCACAGGTAAAAATGCATTATTCTCCGTTTATTATATTATTAGTAAGTTCATCCACAAATGATTTTGTCTGACGGGCAATCCTTAACGCTTCAGAATTTTCTCAAAAAGGATGTAAGGGTGCGTTCTCATGGTACATGCTCATTTTTGTGTGCAAGGATTACGATCGTATTGTTTCGCGTTGTTTATCATGACTTGGAACTGATGTGCGAGGAATTGTTTGTAGGGGGGGGATGATGTAAACAGGAGATTGTTTATGTGGAATTCCTAAAATCCACGAAACACGATCTTTTCCACGTCTGACCCAATTCGATCCCTATCTGCCCTTAATTGCCGGCTACTCTTCTGTTTGTCAACCCACTTTCTAGGAAATGGGTTACTGCTCATACCTCTCCTGTGAGGCTGGAAAAATAAAAAAGGAAAAAAAAAGCACGAGTATAGGACCCGGAAGTACAATACGTGAGGATTCACGGCTGGTCGAATCTCGGATCGCGAACTCACTGTACACACAGGCGGCACGTGCTTTCTCAGTGTATGAATGCTTACTCATTTGCCATCTATAGATCCCAGTCTTATCGGGGAGTTTTATAATCCGGGAACAGTACAGGTCGGCTTATCAGTTGGGTTCTGTCACAGTGGGTTTTGGGTGTCTGAATATATCATTAGAATGGCTCAAGCTGGTAAAGGTCGTCGGTTCAGCCTTCCCGCTCTTCTACATCAGGTCTCCCAAGGAGAAAATGTCATGTGGACAATCGAGAGAATTGAATGAACGATTGGAGTTCTTGTGCAGGTGTGGAGTGGACCAGGTGGGGATGGGCGGGAAACGGAGACGGAGACGGACTTAGATCGCATCCAAGATCTCTTTCCCAGCGACACCTTACATCTCCATTCCAAGGAGCCATCCGTCGCCGTAAGTCTCCCTCTACCTCTCCCTTCCACGTCCATCCATCCATCCGTGCATCCTTCTGAGTGTGTTTGTGTTTATGTAGAAGATGAAAGGTTTATTGAAGAGACGAGGTGGGGCGGGGCATCGGCTGCATCGGGTCCTGTCCTCATCGAAAGGCGGAGGGGAGTCCCCCGAACCGGGGCCGGGTCCAGGTCCGCCGACACGGGAATTTCTCATGGAGACCCCTGTTCATTTCACTACAGTATGTCACTCCTCGTTCTCATCAAACCAAATTCATCGTGCATAGCCAGATGATGAAAGATGCTTCATTCCAAACTCTCTTGAAGCCTTTTTACGAGATAAATAAATATTTAGATGAAAAAAGAATAGCGAATTGTCACTAAAGAAGAAAGGCGAAAAGGTGCAAAAGAATTAGCGCTTTAAAAGCATTAATTCCTTTACTTAAAAAAGCGCAGCATGGGACTGGAAGGGGTCAACATTGGTGATGTCTAGGTAAAGGTACTTCTCATTGTCGATGATGTCTTTGTGATCCAGTCAAGATAGGAGCCCAGGGTGCGCTGGATCGGTTCGACCCTGAATGCAATGCGGCCGGAATGAAACTCAGCGTCCCTAAGACACAGGATAGGGTTTTCTCGAGATATCTTGTACCATACCTCCTCGTCAGTGTGTGAGGTGTGTGGTTGTGCATCGTGCAGTCACCGACTCAGTCACTCTAGCAGTGCCGTGGTGGAGATTCAACTATTCAAGCCACGTTCACGTTCAGTGTGCTTTTCAAGGTCTTGATGAGAACGAGGAGTGACATACTGTAGTGAAATGAACAGGGGTCTCCATGAGAAATTCCCGTGTCGGCGGACCTGGACCCGGCCCCGGTTCGGGGGACTCCCCTCCGCCTTTCGATGAGGACAGGGGGGGCGGCGGCACTTGAATAGGTGAAATTCAAGTAGCTTGGGTTCTCGAGTGATGGGCGATATGAAATCGAGGCTGCATCTCCAGGGCTTCTGTTGTTTCGCAGGAACTCTGGCGGGCCGTGGTTGCCATATCGGAAATTTTCATGGAGGCAAAACCCTCGGTTTTGAAGAATGTTTATCTCCCCACCCTCACCTATGGCCATGAGCTGTGGGTAATGACCGAAAGAATGAGATCGCGGATACAAGATGCCAAAATGAGGTTCTTACTTCAGGTGGCCGGTGTCACGCGTCCTAATAGGATGTGGAGTGTCGCCATTCGTGAGAATCTATCCGGTAGAGCACTAATTCTTCTGGATAGAGAGAAATCTTGAATCCAATGGTTTGGACACGTTTGCTGCATGCCCCTGAGAGGCTCTCAATAAAAAAAAGCCTCTTTGTTCAAACAAGACCAGTCGGTAGTCCTAATGCAAGGTTGAATGAATATGTTGCAAAGCTTTGTCACTATATGAGCGGCATCCCACCTGCTGAGTTTGAGTCCGTTGCCCAGGATTGGGTACAGTGGAAGACGCTCCTGGGCCTACACCAACTGCGACTCCATTAAGGTGGGATGGGCAGTCACGAAAATACATGTATATGCGCATAAAAAAATTAATGAATTACTGTACGTTACTTTCCGCCTGTCCTTGAAATTGTATTGCATATCGATAATATAATATACATTAATAAGCATGGAAAAGTAACAGGAACCAAGAATGGTGACCTCCAAAGTTATGAAACTTTGATGGAAAATGTTGAATAATGAGATCCGTTTTATTGCAGGGCGTGCAAAGCCAGGAGAGACATTTGTTTCTCTTCAACGACCTCCTCCTCGTTGCCAAATCCCGATCTGGGGGTCACTTCAAGCTCAAGGAACGTGTCAGGGTCCGGGAGTTGTGGCTAACCTCGAACGCCCTCGAAGAGGTCTCCGAGGTCACCAAGAACCCCGACACGTCCTTCGTTCTCGGCTGGCCCGTCACCAACGTCGTCGCCACCTTCAAGTAAGTTCAATTGATCCTCGTGGATTTTCGTGATCCCAAGATTGGGCAAGAACAAACGTCGGTCGGTGGGAAAATCCCACGGTCGAATATACGCGGAGAGAGACAATCACATAACTCATGTGGCGTAATCCTCGTCCTATCCACGTTCTCTTATACCATGGATGTGGTTCCACATCAACCATGTCATAATACATAATACGGGGTCAGTAATACGGTATGGCGTCCGTCATCGGTAAACCTACCTCTTCATTTCCTCATAACCTACGGGTCCCGCCCCTATTTTCTTTCACTTTATCAGTTCTCACCAGAACGCATTGCCATGCCAATCTCGCGTTCTTGCTCTCTTCGAAATTCGAGTTGATACCGCGACTATTGACGCAGCTTTTGTTCCTCCCCTGGATCCTCAACAAAGATGTGTGAGCTTCAGTCATGGTGCCAAACGTTTGGTATCTGACTCGAAAATGCCCGGATTTTACTTGCATCTCTTTCTGTGTTATTTATATTTAAATAAGACCAGACCCGGAGTAAGGGTGCAATACGATACTGCAATTCGTCTCAGATGTCAGGCATCAAGAACTTGATAACAAATGTCGCAACATGTTTTTAAAGATTTCTTTACGCCTACGTTGCAGGATTTTTTTAAACACGCTCGTTCCTACTCGGACCCACCGTACCTATCTAAACCAAATGGAACAAGGCAAAGGCGTTTATGATCCAGACGATACCGTGCGACATCTGTGGAAAAGGAAGTTCCTGGAAGATTAGGATCTGTTGTTGAACCCTGACATTTGAGACATACTGGAGAACAAAACAGGGCCTCGCAGCACGACCACTTTGATCTGAAATAAGTAGGTGCATTCAGTTGTGACCTGGGTCACAACTGAATTTCACAACAGATCTTTGAGTAATCAGAATCTCTAGATTATGAAATGATCTGGTAAATAAACCACATTTTACATCGTAATTATAATCCAGTTTTCAAGCAGTTTAACCTCGAAGTGCGTAGAAAAATTATGTATGGGAGCCGGTTGGGCAGAGACAGGCAAGCGCGTTCCATCGCATAAGATCTTCATTGAACACTGGGGCTAACTGATGGATATTCGTACAAGATCTTGGACGCGACAGTGATTCGTGTGTGAATCCTTACCAGTCGATTGAATCGCGAAAACTTTAACCCTTCAAAAGAATTCTTCTATACAAATCTAAGCACTTCGTATCTCCTCTCCATGTGGTTGCAGCGATGCTAGGATCAAGTACTGGAAGACTGGAAGAAATGCGGATGAAGTTCTTAAAAAAAAAAGTTTAATTTTCTTTGAGCTAAATGTTTCATGAATAAATTTCCCACAAATAGGAGTAATGCTGCGCTTGTGATAAAGAAGTTGGAAAAACCCATTTCCAAAGTCTCAAGTTTTTCCAGCCCTAATTCTTTACGGCAGAAGTGAATCGTGATGGTGTCAAAATTCAGGGTCCCGAGGACGAGGGGAAAGACACATGGACAGTGACCCTTTCTGTAAAAGTGAGGAATTAATGATGGATAGGGGAAGGAGGGGGGAGGAATTGACAGGCTCCGCCCCTTTCCTTGGCCTTGCAGCACGGATGTCAAGTTCGTCAATGATTATCTTCCACTAGGTTAGACGTCGGACGAGGATTCGTTCAAAGGGAAATCCTTGGGAATGGTTTCCGCACAAATTTTTTTTCTCACAGAGAGGTCAGTGCAGAAGTGTCAATCTGGGCTACGTTTTCTCAGATCCTCAGAGATAGAGAGAGAGGGAGGAAATGGGGACGGTGAGAATGTGGGATTTCCGTTCTCTCGTACTTTCACTGATGATAAGATCCCGATTCCCAAGTTCCGGGCCCGGCCCCACCCCACGATCATGGACAGTGGAGACTTACCCCTTTGCCCTTCTACTTTCCGAGAATAGAGAGATTTGGAATTGTGTTGAGTGAAAATGCCCCGTGGGCATGGGGTTCCCATACACAGTTGCCAGATCTCGATTCCCATCTAAGCCCTTCCTTCTACCGACGCAAGAGGACTTTACGAGTTGCTCTTCGTGAAGTTTACGAGTCATTTGACGTGAGTAATTCCATGTGTGAATCATCTTTGGATTCCTTAACGTCACCAACTCATTGAATCCGTGATTCATGGGAGATAAGTGAGGAGACATTTCGGAAGATCCGACATCCCTGAAAGGAGTCCGTTTCTACTCACTCGCTTCTTTGGACTCGGACGCTTATCTGCCACTACCAGTCTGTGTTAGTCGGTAGGGACAGGCTCAAGACACAGGCTTTGTGCCTTGTTTGTGTGTGTCTTCCGCCCTTTCATTCTTCCTCCACCACGCTCTCTCCTTGTTGAGAAAGTGGAAGTGTGTGGACTAGTGGAAGCATGGACTGGTCGCAAGTGCGTGATCGACCGCGTTTGAAATGGAAGGGAATCGCCAGGAAGAAACGGAACTGCTATCGTTTGACCTGGAATGCAAGTGGTCAAGGTCGCACTCGTATGACTTGGCCCAGGTCGCTCGGATATTTAGGCCTATCCCTCTTACGTCCTTGCTGCGATCCTTCCCCGTACCCGTGCGTCACCTTCCATTACATGTCTTGCTCTCTCATTTCACTCGCGTATGACTTCTGTGCTCCAAGATCGCGTTTCCAGTCGTCGTATTGCGAACCATAAAAATGTGTGCTAATTTGTGGTGTTCCATTATAATTTTTCACGTAGTACTGGGGCAACGAAAGAGTTGTGGATGAAGAAACTGAGTCAGCTGATGGATTCCGAGAAAGAACGAGAACCTAGGAGCCTCACCATCCAGGTCACCTTCTTCGACCACGTGAACAATATCGAATACGTTCGTTTTATTCCATCCTCGGTTCTTTTAATTATTTATCTGTGGGTCTGGGATTGAGATCGACCTATATGATGTGTCTGCAGTGTAAGACGCTGAGCGTGGGGCCGCGGGACACGGCGTTGGAGTGTATAAAGATGGCATTGGACCATCTGGAGATGGGTGGTGTGGACCCCGCACATTTTCAGCTCTGGGCCATCACGGGTCTCGAGGATTCCCCTTACCCCCTCATTGGTCATGAACACCCATTCGCCATCAAGATGCACGTCTTGAGAGAGACACTGTTGAGCCTGGAGCCTGAGACTGATTTCTTCCCTCACCCCCATCCCGACCTAAATCCCATCGCCAGATGCCAGTTCGTCTTAAGGTCAGTTTCCGTCATCTCCGGTTCCCTTCCAGAGTTTTCCATGCCCTTTTCTTTCGGAGAGGCATCGATAAACGTTCGATTTAGGGATGAATTTTTTTTCGGGGGGGCGTTCATTAGTCTGATTTTGCAGGGGTTCGAGAGAAAATTGCAAGGTTTTCAGCATCTGGCAAAAAACATTTCGCCAAATAATATTCTATTGGTACAAAATGGATACGGCACCAGATGTACTATGCCTTTGGAGAGAGGAGCAATCAATTGATATGCTAATACCCCAATGAAATGGCAAAACCAGCGAATTGACTAATGAGCTCTTTCTCATGAGTCACCGGTCTCACTCATGGACTTGAAACGTCTTTCTATTGCGCCTTCCTGTAGTCTTATCAGCACAATGGGGTAGATAAGTCTATAGGGCCAATGCTTGTGGTTGAAGCCAAATCATGTTCATCAGAAACATATGACCGTGTCATTTTTATTCTGCAGTTCCTTCACAAACTGATAGAGGTAATGTGCAATGTGTTGTGAAATTCAAATCGAATTAGGAGATTTTAATATTATTTTATTGCTTCAGTATTCATCGAGCACACACGTTCAAATTGTTTATGATTTTCAACTTCATTTACCTTTGAAATTGATAAGAATTTTGAGTTAGATTCAGAATCTATCAGGGATAGATTCTGACTCAGAAACATCTTAGCAAATGACTTGATCATTGCCAAGTTGTTTGTGAATAATTGTTGATGTAAAAAAATAAGTTAACAATTGCATACAGAGATCATATGAGAAATGAATATAGTTCGAATATATATTGGGAAACTTTTTCATTTGTAAAATCTTCTGGATATTTGAACCTTACTCCAGAACCTGAAATTCACATTCAGTTCAAATCCACAAAATTTGAGGCATGCAACTGAGAATCAACATCATAAGCCAGTTCAAAAAAATGGGAGAGGGGCTACTCTTGAGTAGTCCATTTTCAAGAATAAATGTACTTCCTGATGTAGTTCTACTCTCACTTTATGAACCATTGTACATGATAAGAGATTCAGGCTTAGGATTCTACATATTAGGATTAGGATTCTCTATATGGGTTGTAAGTATACTACTGAAAACCATGATTATATTTCTTTTCGTTGTCTGAGCAGAAGAACTCGAAAGGATTCAGTAGGATCAGAGGGAAAGAAGGTGAAGGGAGGAATGATGAAGGGAACTTCCATTGCAAAGAGCCCCATTCGCCTCCACAAGATGTTTCGAAGATCCTTGACAAAATTGGACACCGTTGTGGATGGAGAAGGTGGTGGAGGGGGGATGAGTCCATGCTCAGGTGGCCTCCTCTTTGGTCAACCTCTGGGGAAACTCTGTGAAACAGAGTCTGTGCCTCGTCCAGTGATGGACATGCTCTCCCAGCTCTTCCTGAAGGGACCTTTCACCCATGGCATCTTCCGGAAGTCTGCAAATGCCCGCCAGGTTCGAGAACTCCACGACCGGCTGGATTCTGAGCCAGATGTAGAACTGGATGATGTCCCAATCTTCACAGTGGCTGCACTCTTCAAGGATTTTCTTCGATCCCTCCCTGATTGCCTCCTTGGGTCTCATCTCTACAGTGACTGGCTCAGGGTAGCTCATTGCCCCTCTGATCGTGATAAGATTCTTCACATGCAGGCGTAAGTCCCCTTGCTGCTTGCCCTTATCATAATCTGCTACTTTAAGTCCAAGTCTTGTTTGCAGACTGTTGGAGATATTGTACCTCCCAAATGTTGCATGATAGGTCTCTTTGCTTCTTGAAACTTTATCTATTGCTTTCAGGTATCTCCCAGGTCCCCCTTAAAGAAGTTCTGCCTCATCCATTTCTTACTTAGTGAATATTACTCTTGTGTAGTTTTGTTATTTGTGCTGTTAGCCTACCATTTTGAATTATTTTGTAAACAGCTCTTATTTACATTTATGACTTGAATGGGACTTTTATAGCAAAAAAATCTGTGATCTTCATTATATGTGCTATAACTTTGAGGAACTAGTTCTCATTACCTGTCTCATGCAATATGTTAGGTCTGATCTTGTGATGGGTTGAAAAAATTTATTTTCTTTTCCCCTTCCTGGCAGGTTGTTTTCAAAGCTGCCTAAGGAGAACATCACTCTGCTACAGCACTTCCTCTGTGTCCTATACCATATTTCCCAACGGTCTGGAGAGAATCAGATGTCTTCAGGGAACCTGGCAGTATGTGTGGGTCCAAGCATCCTCAGCCCTCCAGCTTCTTCACCCAACCCAATGCTTGCCCTCAATGCTCAAACTTCTAAACTGATCCCATCCCTTGTTGAACTCATGATTGACCGCTGCCCTGAGATCTTTGGTTCAGAGACTCTGAAACTCTTTGGGGATCCCCCACCCAAAGACCCCTCACGAAGTCCTGATTCTGGTGCTGAAGAGTCTGACTCACTTCACTCACTACAGAGTGGCCATTCTGGAGGTCGAGATGGTTAGTTGTGTTTCTACACGATCTTTCACAAATTCCATTTGCTGATGGTTTAATTTATTCATGCAATATCAAATATGGATGAATGAATCCAAAGTTGTTGTTCAGTATGGTGATAATGGCAATGGATGCTTGGTATGTTGACAGGTCTACGACGTGATGACTCCTCGATTGATAGCCTTGAGCGAGAATTCTTAGGTGAAGAGGGAAGTCCATTGCCCCGCAAGGACAAAATGAGTCTGACAAATCTGAGTCGGGATTCTGGCCTCACGATGTCTGACACCCAGCTTTACACTCCTGACGAGGAGGAAAGTGAGAGCACAAGTTCAGGTGAAAAAAGCAATTACTCAAGCAGTGGACATGGGTCAGAAAAAGAGAAGGATCCACCTTATGCACATCATCACAAGCTCACAGTCAGTTATTCCTCTCCCATGTATAACGGGGAGAAGGAGTCTGGGAAGACATCAGTGATGAACCCTCATTTCCAGAGACAGGACTGGACCCGCAAGAGATCAGCCTTAAGGAAGCTCCAGTCTGCTCGACCCTTGAATGGAGTTGATGTGAGGCATTCCCCTTTGAGACGTAGTGCATCTGAAGAGTCTCTGATGAACGTGAGTAGTGGAAGGGCAGTGAGCCCAAAGCGGCCTGCCCTTCATGGCAAAGGACCTGCTCCCCCCCCACCCTTGATTTCCACTCAGCATCGCATCGTGATTGAGAACTCAAGTCCATCACCACCTATGCATCGCTCCCGGTCAGTTCATCATGTTCATGAAGAACACGATGAAGAAGGTGCTGGAACATGCAGTCAGGGTGTTCCTCATGGTGATGAGGTGGACTCCAGTACCCTGTCAGATGATGATGATTCCACACCTCATGTCTCCCGGTCCAACTCCCGTGGAAAGGATTGTGGAATTGTGGTGCAGCCCCTGGGATCAGGCATCAGGCCATCTTGTGAGATTAACATCAACCGCACTGCTAGTTCCTCCACTGTCAAATCTACTGACAGCAGCAGCACATTGACAAATGGCAGCATCTGCAGTGGGGGGGGTGTGGTAGGAACATGCAGTCGACCTCCTAGTTACGAAGAGGCTCTGAATCGACGAAGCACTCTCCTGCATGGAGATCAATCTTCTCTTCAACAGAGTAAATTAAGTGCCAAGGCCAAGAGCCTCTATGAGGAATCTCTCCGTTTGTATGCTGAAAGTACAGGGGATTTTGTATATGCATCAGCAAGTAGGGTTGAAACTCATGATGATGCATCACCACCCCCACCCCTTCCACCGAAACAGAAGCTCCGACGAGGATCTGGAATCAAACAGCACGTTCCAGTCCATGTTCAGCACCCCCAACAGCAACAACTGCAGCATCAACAGCAAGACAATTCATCATCTCCTTGTCGTCGCCCTCGTCCTTACTCCATGAATGAGGAGATGGTGGAAGCAGCTGAACCAATCTATGCTCCTGTGCCTCATGCCCGGCGGAAAGCTGTGAATCGTGCCATTGCTACACCGCCTGTGGAACGACAGAGTGTGGAAACTCAAACAGACCCAGAATTGGATTCGGGAACAACATGGTCTCAAACACCAACAGGAAAATTTGTGTCCAGTGTCAGAATTGAATCCACATCTCCCACATCAGTGTCATGTCCACGACCTGGACGCCGTGCCACTCCCCCTGCACGCAATTCTTCATCCAGGTCCAAGTCACTTCCACCCCAAGAGAGACTTGTGAGTGAGGAATCAGAATCAGACATGGACGTCCATGATGAATTACCCGATCCAACGCTACGCAAAGAGATCAGCTGGAGTGTCAGCCAGTTGCGTGCACTATTCGGGGATCGGCAAGCATCGAATCTTCAACTCTCTCCACCATATTTTCGGAACTGCGATGGAAAGAAGGAATATCCTCCTCCTTATCGACACCCTCCTGTGCATCGAGCTACTCCTCATCCACCCAAATACCACTTTGGACAAAATAACCACCATTCCCAAGATACATCAAATGGCTATGGAGAGGAATCTTATGTCTGATGGCGAGCCATTGATTGGTTATATCGTCCCATCAAGTACAAATCACTTCAAGACAGTTCCTTTTCCCACAAAAACAGGCTCAAGAGTCCTGCAATCAAAACATGTGCTCAACTCAGCAGGCCTTTCTCCTCCTCCTGTCCATCCACTCATTCAAAAGTAGATGATGGCTTGATCATTATTAATATGATTCCCTGAATTTTCTGTTGATCTTGCTTGCTTTTTTTCTTATGTTCCTTTTGGGAACCAGAAAGCCTGCATTTCTGGTGAGAATCTGGTCATGAATTTTCTTTCTCTTGCTGATGTGATGCAGATGATTGTGTCTCTGGTTTCTTATGCTTTTTCTACCCTTTGTGAAATGGATTGTTGTCAACTCTTTGAGAGTGACTGAGTGGAGAGAAGAGAAAAGTGTATTTTTTTTGTGCATATGAGGTTTTTTTTATGACAAGAAAGTTGAGAGTTTATTCAAATGTAGGAGTTATTTCATTCATGGCTCTTTTAGTAGAAAAGACAGTCACTTTTTTTTGTTTTCCAAGACTATAAAATGATGCTAAAAAGAGTTGCTGATTGGTAGTCCCCTTTAAAGCTTCTATCTGCAAAATCTTATGTGTTCTCCATTTCAAACTTCATTGAGAAGAGTTACACTGTATTTGCTTATACAAAGTGGGAGCAAAGTATAAACTTTTCTGGCTTAGCTAAGGATTGAATGCTACACCTGGAACAGTGAGCCGATTATTATAAGTTTCTGTTGTGAAGAAACTTCAACAAACCAAGTACAGCAGGAAACGATCCAGAATGTGTGATAAGGTCCAGTCATTTGAGAAGACTTCCAGGCAAGAGTTATTCTTGCTACAGTTTTGACTACACTAAGGTGAAATTATCAAATCAGTACTGTGTATTGCTTATGGTAAAACGAGAATGGGATATTTTGTCGTCGCAAGGGATAAATAGGTTGTATCCAGTGCAGAATTCGTTTGGATGTGGCATTAAAGAAGAAATATGATTTATCTGATACAAGTGGCAAATATAGTGTTTTCCAGATAATTGTTAATGAAGCAAATGTCTCATTTATTCTCCTTCACTCAACTAGTTTTGCAGTTATACAGGGTGTTCCCTTTATCTTGAGACTATGCGAATGTTAATTTGAAGGAAAACTAAATAATTTCAATATTCATTTCAGATTGAAGGTAAAATACTACTAAGTTGTTGACCATGGGTTCCTGGAGCCTGGGACACTGTACAGGATAGTAGAACATTATTTTGAAAGTCACTCACTGCGAACCTGCATGAACCTGCCTGCACAGCGAACTTCCATAGAATTTCAAACACGAGCTATTCTGAGGTACTTAGCCGAATTAAGGGAAGGGGATCAGTGGCTGATGAGCACAACCGCACACCATCAGTGCGAACAGTGGAGACAATAGAGGCCATAAACTCGGCGATTCAGCAAAGCCCAAAGAAATTCATTCGCCCCATTTCGAACCAGACAAGTGTGGGTGCAACAACTGCATAATCTGAATAACAAACAAGCAAGATCTTTGTGGGTTATGAGTATTATTTGCTATTCAAGTGTGTGCAAGATGATGTAGCAACCAGGAGAAATATTTATTTTTCCATAAGTGAAATACAAGTCAAAACCTTTTGGTAAAAATTATGAAGAATCCAGTAGGGAATATACATTAAGGAAGGAAGAAGACTTTTGGCCGTGCGAATCTTTCTGAGAAGCAATACTACTCGGAATTCCAAGTTTCTTCATGTGACGGTAGTGGGGTGAGTTCAAGTGACACTAGGGCATCAACTAATGAATATCATGATGAATTTGGGAAGAATTGAAGCTGTTGTCCTCTCCACTCACCTTTGCCCATACAGGGACGATTCCTACTTCCCGAAGTAGTCTTTAACAAATGGTGACTTGAACCCAGACGATTCTCACTGTTTATTTGCAGTTTCCTGTCCATATAGTGAGTGACATGCACCAAATGAGGAAACGGATTAGCTTAAAGACGAGATGAACACGTTTACTAAAACATGTTTAAGAATGTGTTTATCTTTGACGTGCACCGCCGAAAATTAGTTTCCATGAACACGTTTATCCACGATTTAAACACGTTTAAAAGTGGTGTGGATGCACTTGGAAAGAGAACGATGAGTGTAGTGCCAGGTGTTGCTTCATTGTCCGCACCGAGTCGTCGACGGTGTCCGCGGAAATACGAAACCTTCTTCGGAATTCGACTCCATTGAACTATCGAAGAGGATTGAGCCGATTTCTGCTAGTCCTGGCAGTTTGGTTAAGGATCATGTCAAAAACTTCTAGCTCATCATGAGTTTCCTTTTCCACCCTCGCTAGATGATGAGAGGCAAGAAAAATGAGGTCCACTCCGGCAAAACAGCATGCTGAACTGCCTCTGAGAATCCGTTTAGGGAGTTAAACCTGCTATGGGGTGACATGCATCGAATCCGTTTAAGCTAAACTAATTTGATTTCACGATGGTCCCCTATGGGAATCAGTTTAACATAGATAAACTTATTCTCATAGACGCCCATTATGAAAACGAATCAGTTTAAAGTTAAACGAATCTGGTGCATATCACCCCTGGAACAAGTTTATCTTTGAAAATTAGTGTAAGAGAGAAATAAACTGATTTCATTTGGTGCATGTCATCAATCAGTTTAACGATGAGTTCAACTCATTCTTAAACATATTTGCCTGGAATCATATCAGTTTTGCTCCTAAACCGATGTGGTGCATGTCACCCATTATCTACTACATCTTTCAAGATCGATATGTACTACGTATTATCGGGAAGAGGTGTACATGCTTTCACATTTCTTGCGATTCCAGTTGTGAACATTGGATTCGTTATTTTTGCATTATGGTGCTTGCAGTTCTTGCGAGAAGAAAAGTTCCGCGAGAGTGGACCGTGAACGTCTGCCTGTATTTCCAGATACTCATATGAGGTACGATACATGGGACGAGGACTGGCGATGGGTGGAAATTAGGGCTGTCAATTCGGTTAGGTTAATCGATTAAAAGATTAATCGCGATTTAAAAATTATTCGAAATTAATATAATTGTATCGACCCCCCCCCCCCATCTTCCCCTGGATGCCTCTTTTCCCCCTAATAATTCGACTGTGCAGTTCATAGTTTTGCAAAACAATCGAAAATGAATGCTTTATTAAGAGAATTAAATGTGATGACGGCTTAAGTAGTCGTTTTCGCACTGCTCAGTCTTCCTCAAAAATGACTATTTTTGGAGGAAGGAAACACACACAAACAAAGCTATCGCTTTCAGACTATTCCAAAAAAGAGCTTCCTGACCCATTCGCATCCCCTAGTGTAATGGTGAGCATCCCATATATCCCATGCATCCCGTATAACCTTGCAGACCTCGCGCGTCAGGCGAAGGTAGCGGCGGCCTAGAGCGACCGAAAAGTCACTGGATGCAAATGGGGAAAATAAAGTCATAATAGGGGATTTTGACAGGGGTGTAGGACAGGAGAGGCGTGAAAGAGGATAATGTAAGGACTGGGGTGTTGGTTGCGTTCGTCTAAGTGCGCCGGCGAAGGTCTGTGGGAGCCCCCAGGAAGTAACCGGGAGAGGAGGAAAGCTGGGAGCAGGCGAGGGATGAGGAAACGAAAGTGTGAAACCCTCTCCTATTCCTTGCTTTTTCTGCTCTTCCATCCTGTGTTGCCCATGAATCGATAATGAATCTTTACATCTCCGCGTAATGAAGTGTCACTGTATACCTCCAATCATTTAGGTTACATTTTTGCATCCTTCCGGCATGGATTGATAAATTGACAACGCACCTCAGTGCGCTTCTTTGCTTACGTTTCATTATTCATCTGGCTACGTTGTAATTATTTTCTCTCCGATTGGAATGTGTCACATGTAGGTTGAAATAGTGTATGTATGGATGGTAACTGCTATGTTAACGACTGAATCGTCTTGAGTCACTTCCTGAGGCTCGCTTAGGTGTTGGACATGATACAAGCAGAATCATCCCCAACGCCATAGGACATGATTCAAGGAGGAACTAAGGAATCGATTAAAATTCGATTAATCGACCGATTGATCGATTAAATGGCTCGCAATTAATTTATCTTTTTTTTTTATCGATCAACAGCCTTAGTGGAAATGAAAATGATTGCTCACGCCCAGTCATCGCCTGTCATCTTTCGAATCAAGAGGCGCGAAAGCTATTTATTTTTTTTTTTAAGGTAGGAAGGAACTCAAAAATCGAGGGTCTGGGATTTGAAATTTGGCTTATAATTATTGTAGGGGGGCTCAAAAGGAATGAAAGGAGGGGTCTCACAGTGACCTCCGACCTACAGTTTTGCTGAAGTTAATGTTTGAATTTACCGCTAGATGGACTTTGCCCGGGTTGCAATGAAATAAGCATAACTGTCAAACCTTTTCTTGTTGAGATGTGCAATTGACGTTTACATACAGCTAATACATTGCTCTTTCGAATGGATACATGTGATGCGTCCTTGAGTGAAAGGTCAAAGGTCAAACTAGCGATTCACGTGGAGACGTCCAAATCGTAAACATGCTCATTCAGCTGCCATTCCTATTCCAGATTCATTTCGCACAAACGTTAACAAGCTTAGTTAGAGCAACGTCTGGGTGAGTCTCATGCCAAATTTCATAAATTTTCTTCAGAGCATTTACGAGATTTTCATCAAAATGTAGTATAAATTGAACAAGAAATCGCGACTACTGAAGGTTCACACAGAATTACTCGCTTCTCAAGTAACGTATCAAAAATTCCTCCGTAATTCTGTTAGAAGACAGTCTTCCGATTGTGTCGATAGCTGCATCACCTGATTCCGTGTAGGTTCCCTCTCGACACATCCTCTCAAAGGAGGCGGATGGTTGACTCGATTCGATGGTTGACTTGACTCGGCTGAGATTACCGCATGTTCCCGCAGATTATTCGCTTCTCAAGTAACTTATCAACAATTCCTCCGTAATTTTGTTAGAAGAGAGTCTTCCGATTGCGTCAATACCTTCATTACCATATTCCGTGTAGATTCCGTCTCGGAATATCCTCTTCAATGATGGCGGATGGCTCAAGCTCTATGAAATGTTTGAAGGGATCGTAGGATCTGAAGCGCTTGACGGATCTTCATGCAATTTTCATGT